CCACGTCTCCCTCCCTCCATCCCTCCCTCCATCCCTCCATCCATGCCTCCCTCCCTCCCTCCCTCCCTCCATCCCTCCCTCCTATCTCCATCGTGCACAGAGGAGTTACGTAGAGTGTGGGGTGGCCGCCCTGCCAGTGCCGAAGGGACGAGGAAAGCCCAGTGCCGGTGGCTCGTAGCCACGCCGCCGGTGCCTCGGGCTAGGAGGGGTGGTCCTGTGCCCCCCACCCCAGGCAGGCAGAGCTGCGCTCGCCCCACCGCAGGTGCCCGGAGCATCTCTGGGGCAGGAAGGAGATGCCGCCCCTTGGCCGGTGAGCTCAGGCCGGCAGGCGGAGGGTTAAATCCTCTGCCATTTGTGCTGCTAATGATTATATGCACTGTAATATCAAAGCTGTAGCTATTTATTTGCCATTGAGCAGGTGCTGCTGCTCCCACAAAGCAAATTTGCTTTCTCCTCCTGATGAAACAAGTGAAATAAAGGTTGCTCACGTCCCATTTCAGATAGGGTTGGGTTTTTTTTTCCCTGCGCACTAGCTGAAAGACAAACACCGAGCAGGAACCAGAATGCGCATTATGCAAGAAACCATATAATCTCGGAGCATCTTTGATTTGGCTGCTGCTGTCACAGACATGTATTTCACAGAGAAGCTCTCCCCCCCGCCTTTCTTTCGTTCTTACTGGTTTATCATTTGTGCCTTTGTCATTTTGTTCCTTCTTCTTCTTCTCTTCTCAGCCTCTTCACAATGAATCTTCATTTTCCCTCTGACACACTTGTATCTAAATTTCCTTATTTCCTGCCTTTTTTTATTTATATCTGTTGCCTGGTGATTTGATCATGCTGTGGAATACAGGATTAGCAATCTCCGTGTCCTTGGGTACCGCTCAAGGACACCTGTTCAGCAAAGCGCCGTTTTCTTCCCCATTTTAACCCCTTCCAGTGTGGCCACACGTGCATAACGGCAGTAAATAAGAATACCTTTAAATATCTCCGGCGTTGCATTAGCAGGACGTTGTAATCTTCATTCTTCAACAGCTGGCGTGGCCCTTTCTAAGAAGCTTACATGGGAATCTGAAGAATGTGACTCGGGGAAAAAGAAAAAAAAAAATTAATACATACTCTTTGAACTTTGCAAATAGTTTAGCAGCTGTTCCTGTAGAGATAGCTTAGACTTCGGTGGAGAGTGAAATGCTAATTCAGCCATTATCATCAAATGGGGGTACCTGTCGGAGTAATCCGCCTGCAGCTCCGAGTCCCTGCTCCAGGCTGGCGGAATCCTGTGCCTCCGTGTTATTTTATTTCCTTAGCAGATATAGGGCGGCGTTCGCAGCGTTACCCAGCGAGGTCTTAAAGGGCTGCCTGATTTGACAGAAATTAGAAGAATTTGAGCACTAGATCGGAGCAAACTCTGCTAATTCCCTAGGAAGGCTTCTTTCCCCCAGCACGGACGTCGCGCTCGCAGCCCAGTCCCAGTTTGAGCCACCCGTCAGGGCTGCAGCCCCCTCCCCTCCTTCCACGGGGCCACCAGCCCTCCCGCAGGCAACCTCTGCTCCAGAGCAGGTGACACCCAGTCCTGGGTGGGTGTCCTCCACCAGGGGCATTTCATTTCTGCCCAGAGAGGTGGAGCCATCCCAAACCCGCCTGGACGCCGTCCTGTGCCACTGCTGGAGGTGCCCCTGCTCTGGCGGGGGGTGGGATGGGGGAGCTCCAGAGGGCCCTTCCCACCCCCACCACTCTGGGATTCTGTGATAAGCCTGGAGAC